TGATCTAAATAGTAAATGTGGAATCTGAGTAAACATAAAACTTAACAATATTTAATGGTAATCTATTACTCCCTCTGTCCCATAATATAAGTCTCTCTACGAAAAAGTGCGGAGTTTAAGAATGATATAAATTTAATTTTGTTTTTGTTTTTATAGCATTAAAAGTATCATTTATTATCTAACTAAACTATATCAACCAATAAAAAAAATGACTGCAAAATATAAGTGATCATATATAATAAATTTTGCATAAAAATCTGTAAAACATCTTATAAAGTGGAAAAAAAAAATAATGCTTAAACATCTTATATAATGGGACGGAGGGAGTACAATAGATTACCATTAAATATTGTTAAGTTTTATGTTTAAGATTTAGTGAATTATGTAAATAGTTAAATAATTACAGAAGAATTTAACGAAACTTGATGGATTATTTATGAAACGAAATCATTCAATTTTTCTGATTGAACAACTAGAATAAAACTAAAATAAATAGTTACTAGATTAATAAAATAAATACTTATTTCATTAATTTTGTATATCAAAAATTCGACATCAGAAATCCTAAAAAAAAAAATGACATCTTGCCTCCGGTTAAAGGAGTTGTCACCAAGTCTCGAATAACCTTTAATTTGTTTGTGAATTGAGATCGACTAAGAAGAAGCATGTTTTGGCGTATATAGTGTTTACACTTTACACCAAGCCACTCACAACAATCCCAAAGTCGAGTATAACATCCAGATCAAGCACAACCTATAAATTCCATTCCGAGTCAAAACTATCTACTGAGTATACAGTCCCAAACTCTTTACGCTTTTAGAGGACACACGTTTTTTCATCTTTGCACCGGAGCTCGAGATTGGAAAGTATGTTGACAACACACGTTTTTTTATCTTGTAATTTGCTTTATATAATAATTTTGTATCATTTGAGTTATAATTAAAAAGCTTGGATGTATGTTTACGTGAGGACTAACATTTGATAAGAATTGTTTTAAAAAAAAACCATTTGATAAGAGTGCAAGAAGAGTTTTAAAACGAATTATATACGAAACATATTTGTACTACAAAAATGTGTTAAAGTAAAAACAGATATTTTATAATAAAAAAAAAAGAAGAAGACAATACTCACCCTCCCATTTTCTTTTATTCTCTCTCCCTAAGTAATTGTTTTGTACCTTTCTCTTTCTCTCTTTCTCCACTATTTAAATAGAGAAGTATTATAGAGAGAGTATAGTGAGATGATGATGTTAGAGTCAAGGAGCAGTAGTATGAGAGGTACAAACTCAGTCCCAGATCTGTCTCTTCAGATCAGCCTCCCTAACTCTCACGCCGGAAAACCTCTTCACGGCGGTGACCGGAGCTCCACCAGCAGTGACTCCGGGAGTAGCCTCAGTGAGTTGAGCCATGAGAACAATTTCTTCAACAACAAACCTCTCTTGAGCTTAGGCTTTG